ATTAGTAATCCATATATTATGCACATTTCCATATATATGCACATTATTTGTAATATAAATACACCCTGTGTGAAACAGTGCTATGATGTTTTGAATATCTCCTTAGCATCTATGATAAAAGTTCTGCAACTGAATTTTTACAAAAGTGTAAAGAATACACCCAGGAAAAAGGATAGTCATTTCTGTAAATGGTACAGGGATAAATGACTATATACATATGCCAAAGATATAAAACAAGTCAAAATAGATTAAAGAATTCAATGTAAGTCCTGAAACTATGAAACAATTAGAAGAAAACATAGGGGAAATACTTTGAGGTATTGGAATAGGCAAGAATTTTTTGACAGGACCCCCAAAACACAGGAAATAAAAACAAAAGTTGGCAAATGAGGTTACATCAAACGGAAAAGTTTATGTACAGCAAGGGAAATAATCACCAGAATGAAGAAACAACCCACATAACAGGAGAAAACACTTGTGCGTTACATATTTAACAAGGGGCCAGTATCCAGAATATGTAAGAAACTGCAAAAGCTCAATAATACAAAAGCAAGTAATCCAGGTTCTAAAGGGGCAATAAAGCCTGGCACAGTGGCACGTGCCTGCAATCCCAGCACTCAAAAGACTGAGGCAGAAACATCATGAGTCTGAGGCCAACCTGAGATACACAAAAAGACCCTCTTCAGAAAGGGAAAGAGGAAATAGAAATAGAACTAAGTAGAAATTTCTCAAAAGATACACACAAATGACTAAAAGATAAATATTTTTTAAAAAATGATCAGCCTCACCACTAGACCAATGGAAAACACAGTCACAATGAGATATCACCTCACTCCAGTAAATCACCTCACAGAAGTTACCAAAAGACAAAGGATAGCAAGTACTATTGAGGGTGTAAAGGAATGGAATGCTTACACACTTTTAACGAGAATGTAAACTAGTGTACCCATCATAGTATGGATGTTTCCAGAAGTTCTTAAAGTCTATGATTAGGCAATTTGTTTAGTACATATACATCCAAAAGAAATAAAATCTATAGGCTAGCCAGGAGTAGCAGCCCATACCTTTAATTGTAGCACTTGGGAGGCAGAGGCAGGCAAATCTCTGGGAGTTTGAGGCCAGCCTGGTCTACATAGTGAGTTCCAAGCCAGCCGGAGCTACAGGGAGACCTTGTCTCAAAAAAAATCATTTAAAAAAATTATATAGGCTAAAGGGACATATGGAACACTCATATTTATTGAAGCACTATTCACAATAACCAGGAAACGGAAACCATTTCAGGATTTGTCTACTGATGAATAAATAAAATATGATTCCAATACACAATGGAACACTGTCCATCCATAAAAAGGAATGAAACTTTTTCATTTACAACATAAAAGGAACTAAATAGCATTATGTTAAAAGTAAAATAAACCAGATACATAAAGACAAGTACTATATGGTGCAGAATATTTAAAAAGTGACCTCCTCCAGGTACAAGCTCCCTGAGAGATTATCTAATCCTAAGAGGACAGCCCTAAACACAGATATACATGAGCACCAACTAAATGGAGTCAGTGCATTACATATGTGTGAGTGTGTGCATATATATAAATATATGTATATGTAACAATGCTAAAGAAGAGGACTAGAAATTAAGAAGGAGTGGGGGGACATGGGAGGAGTTGGAAGGGGACTGGGAGGATGCAAAACAATTTAAAGGCTGGGCATGGCACATGCCTTCAGTCCCAGCACTTGGGAGGCATCACATGATACTCCATTAACAAATGCAATTGATTGCTTTATGAATTAGTCAAATACATTTAATTTACATGAATTAAGATAATTTAGGAGGACCCTGGACAGTCTGCACTGACTGTAACGTATTCTGGAGAAGCGGGGGTGTTTTAAGCGGATGTGTAAAAAGCGAAGACAGCTTCCCTGAAGATCGTAGGATTCCCCTGTTGTCCTACTTCCTAAAATGCTCCAAATGTACCTTAGAGTCTTTTGGGTGGCCATTTTCTGGCTGGCCTGAAAAAAAATGGAATTTTTAAAAATTTATTATAAAATTAACATGTGTTCATTAAGACAATTTTGAAAATATAAAGAAAAATTTGAAATCAATCAAAATTCCCTTGTCTCAAACTAAAGTTTTCCTGTATTTCATTTAAGTGACCTGCATATATCTTAATTCATTTCAAGTTAATAATAAAACATATTCCTCTACAACATTTATATCCATTTTCTTGAACTCCACCACAAAATGTTGTCATCTCAATAGCTGCATGCTTCCTTCATAAGTAATCATCACTTATTTACAACAAAGAAATAAGTTCCTCGCTAACTGGAAATGGGAGAAAAATTACTTCATTCTAGTAAAGGTGATACACCACACACAAATCAAAAGCAAAATGTTAATTGCTTTCTTTAAAGAACAATATTTCCATTTAAAGAACAATATTTCCATTAAACAATATACTGGAGGTCCTAAAATTTTTAATGGCTGCAAAGGAAGGGGTATATTAACTTTAGTCTTAGAGAAAAATGGCAAACTCCGATACCACTGCTACTGATTTCTATTTCTTTCTTTTTTTTTTTTTTACAAGAAATAAGCTTGGGAACTTTATTATCTATCATAAGATAGTTGTGCGCTTTCTACCTATTTGATTACAAATGTCTCTCTCTGGGCAAAAAATACAAGTAAGGCAGCAGATAGGTCCTTCGTTCTGTGGAAATTTTTGGAATCCTAGACCACAACTCTGTCTATACAGATATTAAGGAGCCTGGGGAGAAAGAGAAAGATGTTGCACATTATTAATAGCTTGGACAGGGTGTTAATATTTCTGTCAATATCAAAGAGAAATTAGGCTGGGCATAGAGATAATCACATATAATCCTAACACTGGGGAGGTTGAAAAGAGATGGATATGGGGATTTGAGACCAGACTGGGATACACAATGTACCAGAAGCTAGCCTGAGCTAGAAAAGGGAAACCTATCTTAAAAATTAGAAATTAGAAATAAGCCAGGCGTGGTGGCGCACGCCTTTAATCCCAGCACTCAGGAGGCAGACGCAGGCGATCTCTGTGAGTTCAAGGCCAGCCTGGTCTACACGGTGAGTTCAGGTCAGCTGGGGCTACAGGGAGACTGTCTCAAAAAGACCAAAAGAAGCGAAAGCAAAAGGAGGAGGGGGGGGAGGAAGGAGAAATCAGAAATAATTTAGAAATTCTAAATTTCTGAAATAACTGAAACTAATCCATAGACTTTCTTAGAAGGCTATGGCAGAAAGCCCTTCACTGAGCCTTGTCACTAGAGGGAGGTATCACATCAAAAACAAGTATCTTTAGATTGACACACAATCCTTGGATTACTGACTTGGTCTAGTTCTAAGAGAAGTTCCTGTGACAGTCAGTCGAAGGGGCTATAGCTCCAAGCTCTTTCCAGGGTGAAGCAAGGTTGTTAGTGAGTGCACAAAGAACTTAACTTTCACCCCTGTCCTCCTGTCCCTTTATGGTCACTTCTTGAGTGTGTGCACAGCTTCAAAGGCAAGGGTAAGTAAGCCCCTTGGCAAAGGCTGAGGCAGAGATCAACTGCGTCCGAGATTTTTTACAGATCATCTTTCCCTTTTATCTTTTGACAATTTCATGTTCATACACTGTATTGGGATTATATTCACCCCATTTGCCTCTGTTATCCTTTTCCTCTCTCTCTGAACTCCTTCATCCCAACTAGTCCCTCAGTGGCTCACCATTGAAGAAAATGGCAGCACCCACTCCTTAGGAAAGGAAGTAGGGGCTCATGGGCACCAGCAAAGTGGCACAAGTCTGAGCAACATAGTAAGATATTTTTTTCTCAAAAAAAAGTTTCCTATTGGATTGGGAGATTGGAGATGTAGGTCAGGGATAGAGCTCTTACTTAGCACTCAACAAAGCCCTGGGCTCAATCCTCAGTTTAACAATTAATAAGAAATGTGATTAATTTACAGTTCAACTTTATATATTTTTATCTATTATTTTTATTTTATGTGTATGAGTATATTGCCTGCATGTATGTGAGTGCACCCATGTCGTGCAAAGATGCTGAGGTCAGAAGAAGGCTTTGGATTCCCTTGGAACTGGAGTTAAGGACGGTTCGTAGCTGCCATGTGGGTGCTGGGAATCGAACTCGGGTCCTCTGCAAGAGCCGTCAGTGCTCTTAACCGCTGAGCCATCTCTCCAGCCCCCTACAGTTCAACTTTAAATGCAAATATTTATTGTTATAGTGAACCAACAAGTTTAGTTTTTGTAGCAAAGATGGAGGAGTAATTTAATCTTTATTCCCACTTTTGAGAAATGAAAGTCTCTCTCTCCCATCAAACGGCGTCACTTCATCTCCATCTCCAAATCCCTTCCCATCTCTTCTTTACTCCTTATTGTCTTCGAGGCGCGCCAGTCCTAGGCACAGGTGGTCATGAGGAAATAAGTATTAAAGAGGAGCTCATATAGGACAGTGGTGGGCACCAAGCAAGTCACTAGTGTCTGTCATAGCACCAGAAGTTACCAACAATTCCAGCTACAAGTCAGAGCCAGAGTCAACTGTAGGAGCCTGTGTGGATCTGAGCACCAGATGTCGCAGCTCTTAGCCTGGTTCTAGATTTATCTTTTCCTACCAATTGAATACAGCAATGTTATATACTTATAAAATTATTTTTATTATATATGTTGCAAATAATATTTTCTTTCTGATACCATTTTATATTTTAACTTAGTTTATGGTACTTTTGACTAAAAAAAAGAAGTTAGCAACTGTTAAAGTTAAGTTATATATTACTGTTTCTTAACTTGTACATTGTCAATACAAATAAAAGTCTCTTCTTAGTCTTTTAGCATAAAGTTCAACAGGATTTCCTGGAATAAGTACATTTCCTACCAGCTCAATGGACGCCAAACTATCAATTTATGCTGGATTTTGCCTTTTGCCTTTCCCATAAATAAGATATAATCCTATTTATAAATCTTCCCATAAATAAGGTATAATCGTCTTTGGTTTTCTACATTCTAACACACCCTACTTGAGTTTGAACCTTGAAATGATCTCAGCATAAACCTAAACACTCTCGCCTTCTTTTAAACTTCATATTTTAATCTGGGGGCGGAGATAAACTAACCAAGAGGCATTTGCTGGAGCCACTCACAAGGAAGGCTGCTTGAGGCTGCTGCTTGAGCCTTCCTCCAATCTAGCCTCATATACAGATTCTGAGTCTGAATCCTGGAACCTCAACTTGTTCTTGAACTATGAGGTTGGTAACAGGACTTACCATTCTCCTAACTTTGGGTAAGTATCCTGGTCCTAAAGAGGGATGACTTTTGTGGCTAAAAAGGAGATGCATCTGCTGCCTCCATTTCTCCTTCTATGGTTTTCCAAACTGCTGGAAAAAACTGGTGTGTACGAGATTCTTCATAAAGTCTTAGCATCAGCATGAGCAGCTGGCCATATCCTCACTCACAAACTGTAAGGAGCACTATGATCACTGAGCACAAGGGTGGTGGAAGGTGGACACTTTTTCTTTGCCCTTGTGGTTCTGAATAGCTGATGAGTAAATGCTACCAATGTTTCTCTTATCATGTGCAAAATACAATGCTCAAGTATGAGACAGGATGAGGGATAAGAGTTCTGGAAGTGTTTATGAACCTGACCTTTAAGTGCATCAAGATTTCACAGTCCAGAGCTGATCTGTTGTTTCTCAACCCCTTAGGTATTGTGGTTGATGCTAAAACCACACAGCCAAATTCAATGGAAAGTGCTGAAGGAGAACGTGTACACTTGCCTTGCAGCCATTCCACAATTAGTGGAAATGAGTATGTTTACTGGTACCGACAGGCTCCCCTTCAGGGTCCAGAGTACGTGATACATGTTCTAAAAGAAAATATAACCAATAACATGGCCACTCTGCTCATCACTGCCGACAGAAAGTCCTGTACCTTGGTCCTGCCTCACGTCAGCCTGAGCGATGCCGCTGTCTACTACTGCATGCTGAGAGACACACTGTGACAGATGGGGCTGCACCTGTGCAATATCTTCATGATGGGGAAGGGAAGCAGTGGCCGCCTCTAAACAGGCCTCTGCACAAGAATGAGCAGAAGCTTAGTAGAGGAAGAAGTAAAGGAGAAAGGAAAGGAAGAAGAACTAGCAAGAAGGGATGATGGAAGGAACCAGAAAACTGAGCAAGAGGAGCCAGCTAGTGAAAGAACTGACAAGCTTGCAGGGCAACCAATAACACAGTGTTGCAATCCTGCAGAAAAGAAGACAGGAGTGAGAACCCCCGACTTTCCTTTAATTAAAAAATATTTAATTTTGTGTAGACTTCAGTTAAAAATAAGAAAATTCATTTGGATCCATGGAAGAGTCCAAGCTCTGGATTGTGTATCATGAGACACTTTCTGGCATTTCTACAATTGAAATAAATTTTAGAATTCTTGTTTCTCTCAAGAAAAAAATTGGAATTCTCTTGTTGCTTCTTTGTGGTATACATTTTTGGAGTATAAATGATTTTTAGAGGAATAGATACTCCACTTTTAATGTATGTTGAAATATTTTTGTCATTGTATAAAAAAAATCTTTTTTCATTGTTACTTGAGCTTTTTTTTTTTTTTTTGGTCTTTTTGAGATGGGGTCTCCCTGTAGCCCCAGCTGTCCTGGAACTCACTATGTAGACCAGGCTGGCCTTGAACTCACAGAGATCCGCCTGCCTCTGCCTCCTGAGTGCTGGGATTAAAGGCGTGGGCCACCACACCCAGCTACTGGAGCTTTTATACAAGTATGCACACTAAAACTTGAAAGCCCTAAGCCAACTCCCCCTCCTCCATCCCGTGTCCTCTTTCAATCCCATAATAACTAATTTTTAAAAAATATTTTATTTATTATTTTATGTGTATGTGTATGAGTGTACTGTCTGCATGTACGTGAGTGCACCCATGTCATGCAATGCCGCTGAGGTCACAAGAGGGCTTCGGATTCCCCTGGAACTGGAGTAAAGGACGGTTTGTAGCTGCTATGTGGGTGCTGGGACTCGAACTCTGGTCCTCTGCAAGAGCAGTCAGTGCTCTTAACCACTGAGCCATCTCTCTAGCCCCATAATGACCAATTTTGACCATTTGAAGTGTATCCCAACAACCATCCCTTTCCATTTGCATGGATGCTCATAGTTATCCAATTTTATTTCATAAATGACAACATACCACAGATTTTTCCCATAGCTTATTTTTATGTTTTTATTTATAATTTTTGAGGGATGATCATACTTATATTTCCTCTCAAATCTGAAAATATCTTCATGGTATGACTCAATAATAAATTTACTTACTTAAGTTAAGTAATATCTAAATTTTCACTTCTCAACTATCATAAACAGAATCGTTTTAGTTATATATGAATACACTATATATATATATATATATATATAGAGAGAGAGAGAGAGAGAGAGAGAGAGAGAGAGTCTTTATAGCCCAGGTTACCCTCGAGATTTACAATCCTGCCATAGCCTCCCAAGTTCAAGGATATGGGCATGGACCACCAAGCATGACTTAATGTATTATTTTCTTAGAAATTCCTCAACTTGGGGCTGGAGAGATAGCTCAGCAGTTAAGAACACTGACTGTTCTTGCAGAAGACCCGGGTTTGACTCCCAGCACCCACATGGCAGCAGATCCTACAGCCTCTTCTGTCCTCCACGGGCATTGCATGACACAGATGCACTTACATACATGCAGGCAATACACTCACACGCATAAAATAAAACATAATAAATAATATTTTTTAAAAATTCCTCAACTTGGAATTTCTGAGTCAAGATGTATGCCTATTTTATATGTTTGTAGATATTGAGTTGTTGTATTCCAAAATGACTCAGTCTACACTGCCAACAACAGGATAGAGTAAACTTACTTCCCTGCATCTTGGTTAATACTTGTACCAGTATTCTAAATTTTAGCTAGCATATGAATATTTTGTTATTTTAATTTGAATTTTACAATTAATAGTGTAGTTAAGCAGTTGAGTAATGTTCCTTGTGTGTTGGCACTGTGTGATTTCAGTTTTGTAAATAATGTTGAATGATATAATTAAAGCTGGTCTTAATAGATTATCTATTTCTAGTTTATTACTTAGGAAACAGTTTAGTGTCATGTTTATTTCTCTGCTTAGTATATACATTGCATATATTTCTCCAAATATATTTTTAATGTTTTTTATTTAATTTTCATTGGGAATACTTCTTTCATTGGGAATTACTTATTTTTATTTTATGTGTATGCCTGCATTGCCTGCATGTGCTTAAGTACACCCGTGTCATGCAGTGCCTGCAGAGGACAGAAGAGAGCATCAGATCCCCTGGAACTAGAGTTATGGACAGTTGTTAGCTGCCATGTGGGTGCTGGGATTCGAACCCCAGTCTTTTGCAAGAACAGCCAGTGCTCTTAGCCGCTAAGCCATCTCTCCAGTCCTCTAACACTTTCTAATCAAGAATATTTGTTTAGTCAGTCTGGGTCCTCAGTGAACTGGGAGCTAAGACTGCTGGGGTTTAGATATTTGATAAGGGGAAACAGAACTCTTTTTTCTTAATGGCTATTGATTTCATTAAGTGTTTTTTCTGCATTTCATTTTCTATAGATTTTTTTGGTCCTTGATCTGTTAATATGATGAACAATATTTTATTTTTATTTATTTCGAATTGCATAAATATATTTTTATCATATTTAGATTCCCTCCTGAATCTTCACCCCTCTATGCTACTCCAGCCCCACAAAATTTCTTTATATATATTAAAGAAATTTCGTGGGGATATATATATGCCTATAGAGTCAAGTTTGTGGTTTTGTGTCCCCAAATGCCCTTCTGGGTGGGTTCATTCATTCACTGGAGCCTGGTCAACTTACTAAGAATCTAACCCTTAAATGAGACTGAATTCCCCCTTCCCAGCAGTCATTGGTTGCCAGAGTTCCTTGGATAGGGTTAGGATATTTTTATACACTTCCCCAAGTCTTATGTTGGGATTTTATCTGGCCTGAGCTTACGTGGGACTTGCCCATGTTGTCAGCATTGCTATGAATTCATATGAGTAAATCAGCTGTCTGGAAAACTCTATTTTCTTTTGGACATTCACCTCTTACAATTTTTCAGCCCCCTCTTCCACAATGATTCCTGAACCTTGGGAGGCAAAAGTTTGACACAGGTGTCCTATTTAGGGATAAGAAGTCTGCAGCCTCTTAGTCTCTGCATGTTGGCCAGTCATGGTTCTCTGTGTTAATCACCATCTGTTGTATAAGAAAGCTTCTCTGCTGAGAGCTGAGAGATGCATTAATCTATGGGTATAACAATAAGTCATTAGAAATAAGTTTCATACTATATCTATTTAGCAGAATAGTTATATTAGGCCTTCTCCTATAGCCTGTGGGCTGTCTAACCTCGGGCTCCTAGTCTGATATCAATGTCAGGTATGGGCTCCATCTTATGAAGCAGACATTAAGTCCAATTGTCAAGTAGTTGGTTACTCCTATAATATCTATGCCACTATTGTACAAGTAGGTATGTCTTCTAGGCCAGTTGTTGTTGCTTATGGGATTCACAGCTGGGTAAAGCTCATAATAATTTTCTCTTCAGGTAGTTTGTATAGCACCTTCCAGCACCATGAAAGCTAGACAGTAGAGATAAGGCGTTGAAGTCAGTTCCAGCTGATTTCTCCTCATTTGTTCTACAGATCATGTTTGTAGTGTCTTCAGCAATAGAAGTTCTGGTGGATGACCAAGAGTAGAAGCAATGACCAGTATTGTTTGAGGGTCTGTGGGACACTTGGTCAACAGCTTCAAGACAAGGAGTCCATTCCTGGGGTTGGGCTTTTACTTTGTTAGCCTATGGTAACTAGTAGGGGCAATGTATTCCTGATATAAGGTAACTCCTTTTAATCTCTTTTTATAATGTATATACTTTAAGAAGTATAGTGGTAGGTTTCTATATGGCTTTTTCTAAAGGCCTTTGGTGTTAGTTCTCCATCCCCACGCTCCCTCCTCTGCCCTCCCCTCCCATTCCCCACCCCATTTCACCCTTCCTACTCTGTTGTCCCCTTTCCCCTTATATCATTGCATTCTATTTCCCCTCCTAGGGAGCCTCCTCCCCCACCCCCCAGACATGGTCATTTATTAATTTTTTTCCTCTCTGGATTCTGAAATTGCAACATACCTATCTGATATTTCAAAGCTAGCATGCAGCAATAAGAGAGAACATGTGACCTTTGTTTTTCTGACTTTTGGTTACCTCACTAGGAATTATTATTTCTGGTTCCATCCATTTACCTGGGAAGGTCATAATTTTGTTTTTAAAGAGCAGAATAATATTCTATTGTGCATATGTCCCACAGCACCATTATTCATTCATCAGGTGATGGACATCTAGATTGCTTCCAATTCCTGGCTATTGTGAAAAGGGCAGCAATGAACAGGTACTTCTGTAGTAGAGTACGGAATCTTTGGGGTATATGCCCAAGAGCGGATCATATGGTGGATCAATTGCTAACTTTTTGAGGAATCTCCACAGTGATTTCCATAGTGGTTGCACCAGTTTGCATTCCCACCAGCAGTGGATAGGAGTTCCCCTTTCTCTAGGACCTTGTTAGCATTTGTCACCATTTGTTTTTTGAATCTTAGCCATTCTGACTACAGTAAGCTTAAATATCAGAGTAGTTTTAATTCACAATTCCATGATCACTAAAGACATTCAACATTTTTTAGTATCGCTCGGTCATTTGTGTTTCATCTTTAGAGAACACCCTGTTCATCTCCTTGCCCCATTTTTAATTGGGTTGTTTGTTTTGGTGATGTTATGTTTTTTGGAGTTCTATGTGTATTTGAGACACTAACCTTCTGTCAGAGGTAAACTCATAAAGATTTTTTCCTATTCTGCAGGTTTCCTCTTCACTCCGATGATGGTGTCCTCTGCTATACGAAGTTTTTCATTTCATGTGATCCTGTCAGTTGTTGG